CATTTTAAGATAGTGTGAATGATACAGAAGAAAAACACTGCGATGGCCGGGAATCGAACGCGGGTCAACTGCTTAGAAGGCAGCTATGCTCACCACCATACCCCTATCGCTTGCTTATGTTCAAACATTGTATGGGAAAAAAGAGACCTATCTAAAGAACACACACATTTAGAATTGCGCAGGGAGACCCCCAATGGATTCTAGTCTATCGCCCTGACCACTCGCCCACGACAACCTTCGACTTCAGGTTCAAGTTCATGGCTCCCTGGCAAAACAGCAGTTGTCATCGATGAGGGTTTTGAGCCCTCATGAAGACAAGTTCACTGCAGGCCAAAGCGGCTCGTCAATTGATTCAGCGGTAATGGTACATTTTTTGTACTCAGCCTCTAGCCTAAATAAGCGAATGAAATACCTACTTGGAATGAAACTATGCACACAAGGGGGTCATCACTGGAAAACGGCAATAAGGATCACCAGGTTTCGGACACGGGAAAGGCTTTCCCCCATTGGTATTGGCAAACCTGTCCCTGACGAAAGACCGACTGGCGGTTTGAACCTAAACACTTTAAGATAGTGTAAGTGATACAGAGGAAAACACCTGCGATGGCCGGGAATCGAACCCGGGTCAACTGCTTGGAAGGCAGCTATGCTCACCACCATACCCCTATGGCTTGCTTATGTTCAAACTTTGGGATGTGAGAGACGAGACCTATCTAAAGAACAGACAATTTGGAATTGCGCGGGGAGACCCCAATGGATTCTAGTCTATCGTCCTGACCACTCGCCCTCGACAACCTTCGAGTTCAGGTTCAGGTTCATGGCTCCCTGGCAAAACAGCAGTCGTCATCGATGGAGGTTTTGAGCCCTCATGAAGACAAGTTCACTGCAGCCAAAGAGGCTCGTCAATTGATTCCGCAGTAATGGTACATTTTTTGGACTCAGCCTCCAGCCTAAATAAGCGAATGAAATACCTACTTGGAATGAAACTATGCACACAAGGGGGTCATCACTGGAAAACGGCAATAAGGATCACCAGACTTCGGAAACGGCTGTCCCCCATTGGTATTCGCAAACCTGTCCCTGACAAAAGACCGACTGGCGGTTTGAACCTAAACACTTTTAGATAGTGTAAGTGATACAGAGGAAAACACCTGCGATGGCCGGGAATCGAACCCGGGTCAACTGCTTGGAAGGCAGCTATGCTCACCACTATACCACCATCGCTTGCTTATGTTCCAACATTCGAAGGGAAAAAAGAGACCTATCTAAAGAACAGACCAATTTGGAATTGCGCAGGGAGACCCCCAATGGATTCTAGTCTATCGCCCTGACCACTCGCCCTCGACAACCTTCGAGTTCAGGTTCAGGTTCATGGCTCCCTGGCAAAACAGCAGTCGTCATCGATGGAGGTTTTGAGCCCTCATGAAGACAAGTTCGCTGCAGCCAAAGCGGCTCGTCAATTTATTCAGCGGTAATGTTACATTTTTTGGACTCAGCCTCCAGCCTAAATAAGCGAATGAAATACCTACTTGGAATGAAACTATGCACACAAGGGGGTCATCACTGGAAAACGGCAATAAGGATCACCAGGCTTCGGAAACGGCTTTTCCCCTGTCCCTGACGAAAGACCGACGGGCGTTTTGAACCTAACCACTTTAAGATAGTGTAAGTGATACAGAGGAAAACACCTGCGATGGCCGGGAATCGAAGCGGGTCAACTGCTTGGAAGGCAGCTATGCTCACCACCATACCCCTATCGCTTGCTTATGTTCAAACATTGTATGGGAAAAAAGAGACCTATCTAAAGAACAGACACATTTAGAATTGCGCAGGGAGACCCCCAATGGATTCTAGTCTATCGCCCTGACCACTCGCCCACGACAACCTTCGACTTCAGGTTCAGGTTTATGGCTCCCTGGCAAAACAGCAGTCGTCATCGATGGAGGTTTTGAGCCCTAATGAAGACAAGTTCGCTGCAGCCAAAGCGGCTCGTCAATTGATTCAGCGGTAATGGTACATTTTCTGGACTCAGCCTCCAGGCTAAATAAGCGAATGAAATACCTACTTGGAATGAAACTATGCACACAAGGGGGTCATCACTGGAAAACGGCAATAAGGATCACCAGGCTTCGGACACGGGAAAGGCTTTCCCACATTGGTATTCGCAAACCTGTCCCTGACGAAAGACCGACTGGCGGTTTGAACCTAAAGACTTTAAGATAGTGTAAGTGATACAGAGTAAAACATCTGCGATGGCCAGGAATCGAACCCGGGTCAACTGCTTGGAAGACAGCTATGCTCACCACTATACCACCATCGCTTGCTTATGTTCAAACTTTGGATGTGAAAAGCGAGACCTATCTAAAGAACAGACCAATTTGGAATTGCGCGGGGAGACCCCAATGGATTCTAGTCTATCGCCCTGACCACTCGCCCTCGACAACCTTCGAGTTCAGGTTCAGGTTCATGGCTCCCTGGCAAAACAGCAGTCGTCATCGATGGAGGTTTTGAGCCCTCATGAAGACAAGTTCGCTGCAGCCAAAGCGGCTTGTCAATTGATTCAGCGTTAATGGTACATTTTTTGGACTCAGCCTCCAGGCTAAATAAGCGAATGAAATACCTACTTGGAATGAAACTATGCACACAAGGGGGTCATCACTGGAAAACGGCAATAAGATCAACAGGCTGCGGAAACGGCTTTTCCCCATTGGTATTCGCAAACCTGTCCCTGACGAAACGACCGACTGGCGGTTTGAAGCTAAACACTATTAAGATAGTGTAAGTGATACAGAGGTAAAACATCTGCGATGGCCGGGAATCGAACCCGGGTCAACTGCTTGGGAAGACAGCTATGCTCACCACTATACCACCATCGCTTGCTTATGTTCCACCATTGGAAGGGAAAAAGAGACCTATATAAAGAACAGACCATTGGAATTGCGCAGGGAGACCCCCAATGGATTTTAGTCTATCGCCCTGACCACTCGCCCACGACAACGTCGAGTTCAGGTTCAGGTTCATGGCTCCCTGGCAAACCAGCAGTCGTCATGGATGGAGGTTTTGAGCCCTCATGAAGACAAGTTCGCTGCGACCAAAGCGGCTCGTCAATTGATTCAGCGGTAATGGTACATTTTTTGGACTAAGCCTCCCAGCCTAAATAAGCGAATGAAATACCTACTTGGAATGAAACTATGCACACAAGGGGGTCATCACTGGAAACCGGCAATAGGGATCACCAGGCTTCGGCCACGGGAAAGGCTTTCCCCCATTGGTATCGCGCACACCTCTCCCCTGACGAAAGACCGACTGGCGCGTTGCACCTAAAGACTTTAAGATAGTGTAAGTGATACAGAGTAAAACATCTGCGATGGCCAGGAATCGAACCCGGGTCAACTGCTTGGAAGACAGCTATGCTCACCACTATACCACACATCGCTTGCTTATGTTCCAAGTAT